TTTTCGGATTGTGTAGGAAATTGCAGTTAAATTGGGTAGTTCGTGTATCAATTTGGCACATTTGATAATTTGGTATAATTTTTTGTCAAATTAAAAATTTGTGTAGGAAAAAGTCACATTTTGCAAAGTTGGTGTAGGAAAATGTCATTTTCCCTATTATATATGATAATATTTTGCATGGTAAATATTTATTAATTTATATAGATTAGATAATATAATTGTTTATATGCGGCGGTATTACCGTATGCAAAAGTAAAATAATTCAGGCGGCATTGTCGTCCATAAAGATAAAACAATTTAGGCGGTACGACCGTCCTCAGCCGTCCAACAGTAACAAATAAATAATTAAGGCGGCTCAGCCGTCCAATAGTAATAAATAATTAAGGCGGCTTAGCCGTCCATTAATTTAAACAATAATTAACTGATATTTATATATAGCTTGGGGTTAATTCTATTCAAGTATCAATTAATATGTGTATATATCATTAGAGCGAATATATAATATTACCTTTGTCGTAGAAGAGCGTTCGTGCTGATAACGTGTTGTGAAAAACGAAGAAATATAGAAGACCCGAGAATCAGATCGTTAACTAGAAACCGAAATCGATCGTTTGAGAGACCCAGGAACAAGATTTCAATAATTTTCTTTTCTTGGAATTATGTACAAATGAATGAGGGAAATGAGCTATTTATAGAAAATCCGAAGTTACTGTTCACGTATACGTATTTATGAACAGTAACCGTATGGCGGCGTGAACAGTACCCGGCTGCGTGAACAATGTCCGGCTGCGTGAACAGTACCGTAGCTTCACTATTCATTTATAACAAAATATAAATAATGAACGCAATTTTTTGGTATTACGATTAGATGGACCAACCGATATGTAATCCAATGGTTGATTAAGCATCCAACGAAACGATTATTATTTTTCATTTTTTTTATATGAAATAATCAGCAACATTTTATTTTCTCTAGTAAAGCGGTGGATCATCAAGAACGGATGAACCGGTCGGACCGGGATTCGGACCGGTCGGAGCTTTCACTTCATCATCACCGGGAACATTTTCCGGCAGTGGACGGACGGGCTCCGCCGAACCAGGATTCGTCCCAGTCGGAGGCTTCACTTCATCACCACTACCACCGGGAACAAAATTCTCCGGCGAAGGATCAGGCTTCGACGGCGGCTTAACGGGTTTTGAAGGATTCTCCGGCGGAGGGTCAGGCTTCGACGGCGGCTTATCGGGTTTTGAAGGATTCTCCGGCGGAGGGTCAGGCTTCGACGGTAGCTCTCCGGGCTTCGAGGGCGTTTCAGAAGTCGACGGTGGTTTATCGGGTTTTGACGGATATCCCGGGCAAGGGGGCGGCCAAAACGGAGGTGGCGGAGGCCAAAACGGTGGCGCAAAGAACGGCGGCCCCGGCGGAGGACCTGGAGGATATCCCGGCGGCGGACCCGGAGGACATCCCGGGGGAGGACCCGGCGGACATCCCGGAGGAGGCCAGCAGCCCGGCGGTGGAAAAGGAGGCCGATGAGGCATTGGGTGTGATGTGTTTGTGGATGAATTTAGGGTCCGATATTTATATAATGGCACGTAAGCAGTGGGACCAGACTGATTTAACGTGTTTGGTACTTGTAGGAGAGGTCTATACAAGAGTTTGGTACAAAGGGAAGAATCGAAACGTGATCAACGAGACCGTTACACTTCGTACCGCAATTAAATTGTACAACTCTTTCTGTCGGCCATTTTAAACGCCTAACGATCGCTTTGTAATCCGACCACCATAAATTAGGTTTATATATCTTTATTTTAAAATATTTAGAACATTATTATCTATACTAGGTAAGACCCGCGCGATGCGCGGTTATTCTTTTTTATTATTAATATAAATTATTTATTTTTTATTATAATGAATTATTGATATAAATATTAAAAAAATTGGAATATATATCTATATATATATAATATAAAGTTAAATGATATTTATATATCATCGTGAAAAATGAAAGAATATAAATATCATCGTATTATTATATAATAATTATATATATATATATATATCTATACATACGTTGAATAAATAAGTTTGTCAATAATATTTTAATTTTCCTATCCTGAGGATTTCACTTGACTGTCTACGGCTCCATTGCGTGTGCTTGAGGTGGAAGCTTTGTATAAATGTATCGCCATGTCCAAGTATAAGTGTCATTCTAACTCTTCTTGGAGTATTCCATATTCCTAATATTTAATATTCTTCAATATGTTAAAAATAAAATTTTGATGATATTGAGCTGTGCATTCGTAAAAATTCTTGTAGATGATAGATGTATAAAGTGATGAAATATCTAAATCATAAAAAAATGTTAATTAGTTTATATAATATTGATATTGTTCTATATATAATATATTAAGAGTTTACGATTTTATATTCTTTTTATAATTTCCATCGATAATTTTTAGATTTACATCAATAACGATTATAACATTAAATTTAATATTCAATTTATCCATTTGGGAGCGGATTTCTGTTTTCAGATTATCTTATACGCACACTTTACAATATTGTTGTTTTTTAGATAAAAATTATAATAAAGTTCGTTAAAAAATAAGTAAAAAATAAAACTTTTAAATTAGATATTTGAATATTTCTTTTATTTTGTACATGGAAATAATATAATTAGAAAATATCACTAACTCAATTATAATTTATTATAAATTTATAAATTTTAATAAAATTATATATAATATTACTTTCAAAAAATTATAGAATTTATATTTCTAACTTTTATTAAAATTAAAATTATTATTATTCATTGTTTTTTAAAAAGATGTGGTAATATTGATACGTTGAATGTTAATTAACTATAACATTTTCTAAATAATTAATAATATTTAGAACATAATTTATCACAAAATTTGAATTATTATAATAATAAAAAGCATATATTGTAAATTCATTAAAAATTATTAATAATTATACTTACACAAATAATAATAATTTATGTATGTTGAAAACTCTTTACATTGGTTTGAATGTTCTCTTCATATTTAAGATTTTTCTTCATTTTATCCCCCGTTAAAATTTTTTTGTTGTTTTTTATTTATATTATTTCATTATATATGGAATTTACATTTTTTAACTTTGATTTAAATTAAATTATTTCTATTTTTTATCCTTTAAAAAAGATATAATAATATTAATACGATTAAAACAACAATAAGATTTTTCTAAAAGAATAATAATAATAATTTAAACCTTAATTACAAATTTTATATAATATCTATTTTTAAAAATTATATATTTTAAATTTATTAAAAATTTCTAATAAATTTATATATACATAAATAATATTAATAATTTTGCCGTATTGAAAATTCTCTCGTCTAGTAAAATATTCTCTTCATATTTAAATTTCTCCGTCATCTTGATCATTTTTAACTATTAAGTATTTTAAAACCGACATCTATATATACATAAATACATATACACAAATATATCTACATATACATATATATACATATTGCATATATACATACATCCATATATAGGTATAAATATATATACACATGTACACGTGCATATATACAAATATGTATACATATACATACATACATATATACAAACACATTCATATATGCATATATACACACAAAAATATACAATATAAATACAAATATATATACATATACACATATATATATATAGAAATACATATATGTTTATTTTATATTTTTGTAATGTTTATATTTTATTTTGTTACCAGATTTATATATACAATACAAAAATTAAAATATATACATATATATACACATACAAATACAAACACACACATATACATAATTAAATTAATAAAATAAAAAGTAAAAAATAAAATAAAAAATATATACACATATATACTTATATACATGAGCGGATCCACATGTATTGGAGTAGGGTCCCATACTCATACGTTTAGATAAAAAAGATTAATTTACTTGTAATTGTTATAAAAATTTTAATAAAAAAGATTATAGCCCCCGTTAAATTTTTTCTTGGGCCCCCTCCCTTTTTTTCTTTTTGTTTTTTAATTTTTTCCCCTAAATATTAGGTTTTAGGATATCCTTTTCTTATTCTTATTTTCTATTTATTTTTTATTTCTCCCTCAATTCTCTAAAAAAATTCACAAATCTGATATTTGTTATTTATTCATCAATTTCTAGTTCATATATTTGATTTAATAGAAAAACCAATTGATAAAATTTTCAAAGAGAAATTTTTTGTTAAAAAAAATCATCAATATAGTAAAATTTCAATAAACAATATATCAAATTATTAGATTAGACCTTTCGATATCTTAACAATTTGATTTATATGATTTATCTTTGGATCTTGGTGATTAAAAAAATGTATTAGAGATAAGTTTTAATGATGAACTTTGTGAAAAAAAATCATAATGATGATCAATTTTCAAGTAATTATCTAGTTTTTTTATCGAAAAAGATATATTTTAGATATTTATAAATGAAATTGGTAAAAATAAATTTTAAAAAACGAAATAGTAGAATTTAGTAGTAACATATAAACATTGTTTCGACATATTTTATTAACTTTTTATAGATCCGAGAAATACACATATTTTATATTTTAGAGAGACAAAACAGTTCATTTCTCCATCCCATCTGATATCTATCCTTCTACAAAACAAATACCAAAAAATTCCCCTAAAAAACTTATCAAGATACATTTGTGGACACTGTAATTTACAACTTTCCTATAAATTTTTTAATATTAACATAAAATTACATCGAAATTCAAATTTTACCACATTCCATCACCATTTCTCGTAATAAGTCGCATGCAATGTTCTACAAGATGCTAGACGACGTTAACATTCGACAATTTTCGTCAATTATAATGCTGAGTGGTGTAGACGTGGTGGTACACGTCAGAATTTTTTTAACCAGATATATATTATATGTCTGAAAATTAAAAAATAGAAAATAAAAATATACACGTATATGCATACCTATATATATACATATAGACACAATTATATATATACATATATATATATCTATACGCGTATTTTTATTTTTATTTTTATTCATAATTTATTTTAATGTAATTTTTCTTAAATTGTCTTTTTCTTGTTATGCACTGTACAATTATAAATTATCTTAAAAAAATACAAATATAATATTATGTACTTCGAATATTAGCCACACTAATGTATCTGTTTTTCGAATCAACCAAACTAAATAAAGCACTATAATTTGTTATTAAAATTATGTGTAGATAAACACATACATATACGTAATACATTGTACATCCGATTAAGATTATCCATTAAAGATAGGAATCTAATCAACATAATATTCATACATGTAAAATATAAATGGTAAGAGGAGTACAATTATATGCGAATAAATTCATAATGAGTAGTTCTTGAAATTTCGGATTTTGGAACATGTCGATGGCCTATGTATCCGGTGGAGACGGTTTTCAGTGAAGAAACTTCAAGCCTTTCGAAAGTCTCCCATTTATTTTCATGAGAAATCAAAGTGGGGATGAAATGTAAACAGAGTGACAAAAAAATATGGATGTGATTAGAGGAAAACTAATACATTGAATACATTGAGAGGAAGACATCAATAATATAGATCAATTAGACGAATGTGTAAGAACAATAAACCAATGAAGAATCATTATTATAACCAAAATATATATACGATGAACCGTCAAATTTTTAAAAATGATGATTAGAATACCCTTAATCGTTTCTCCAATTCTCCTCGTGTCTCCAAATGATGATTTGGGAATTCCTCGTGTCTCCGTTCTCTTTCCCATCACCGGAAAGTCATCTCCGATGAATCGCATCCGCCTGCGAAGGATGTCTTCAAACCACCGCGGGCACTGCATCCCGCCAGTGACCTTGGCGACGACGACAGTGGTGGTGGCGGGGCATGGCAGATTGTTGCTTAAGGAAGATCCATGAGCTTTTTTCAGAAAGATCCGGCAAATGGGTATGCAGATTCATGCTTGATGAAGAGCTATAAGCTTTTTTCGGGTGGATGCGAGAAAAGGGTTTGGAGATTTGCCTTTGAGGAAGACTCTAAACCTTCTTCGGAGAAATCTGGTGAACTGTGCCCTTTTTATAAGTAGAGAAAGAATGAAACCGTTCATTCCATCGGCCGATGTTTGAACAATCTTATTAAAGACCATATAAAATAAATATGCCTAGTAGTGGAGTAATAAATTAGACTTTTACAGGTCTTGGCCGTTATAAATTTGTTTTATTCATGCAAATGCATGCAATAAATTACAATAATGGTATTTTCACATAGTGTCCAATGTCCATAACGGAGTTTTATTTGATTACACTTTAATTTACAATTTTAATTGCTATCTTGATATAAAAAATAACAATAGATTACTATTATTAAAAATTCATTTTTATCAGATAAAAAGTTATTTTGGTATGAGTTTTATATATTATTGAGATTTTTATTTGATTACATTCATATTTAAAATTTATTTTTTATCATAATATAATAAAGGA